CAAGGAAATCAAGGATGCTGACACAGGAGGAGTGAGTGTAAGAGCGGAAATGTAACAGGCAAAGGAGAAAAGCTCCCTCATGCAGAAGGAGGGGGTTCTGAATGGACCTCCCAGTTCCATGGTAAAACGCATGGGGTTTTATAGACTAGTCTGAGGAGCGAGTGTCTAATTTACATAGGGCCCAAAAGATTGGTTGGGCCAGGTGTGTCATTTACATAGCACGTGAAGAAGCTGGCTGCCCCACCCTAGTCTTTCATTATGCAGATGGATTCTCCACCTGACCGGTGCCATGTTGCCTGTTCCGTTATTATACATGTGGATGACAAAGAAAAGGGAAGGTGGAGCCTCCATGTTGAACATGCCTGGCCCCAGGTAGCCTTTTCCTATTGGCACAGCTGCCGACGTTCACCCGTGCAAGCTTTCAGCTTGCTCATCTATGTCTGCAGCTCGATTTCACAGGCTGCTCTTTGTTAGAAAAGAAATGATTTGAGGGCTGCTTTTTGTTAAAAGGGAAACCTTGTTGGAGACTCTCTTACCCTCACTAACTGCCTAAATAATTTATGTTTAGCTCATGTATCAGAAACACCTCGAATTACTACTAGAAATCCTTTTAGGTCCTGAGAGCCAGAGACGTTAAGTCACTTGCCCAACCTCCCACAGCCTCAAGGCTGGAACTCAAGTCTGTCTTACCTTCAAGTCCCTGCTCTCTTCTCTGCCAGGCTCTGCTTTTTGCTGCAGGAAGATTGAGTTAGCCAATCGACAGAGTCCTTATTTAATTATATGTTAGGAAACCATTAGGATTCTCCTAAAAAGGAGTTTTGAATAGTCTTTGATAATGGCAATAAACCTAAGTAGAGGAAGTAAATATAGACAAGACTGAAATTCTCCCATTAGGTTTTTGTTTTTAATCTTAATTACATTTTATTATATTCAGTGGTATGCAGTTTCAAAAGGAGGAATTGTCTTGACTCAAAACCAAAAAGATTATCAAATATCTGCTCTTCAGTAGATAGTAGGAGGTGTTTGTGTTGTTCATGTGTTTAAACCGTATGCCAGGACGTGTAAGAGTTGCCATTTTAATGCTCGATTTTAATTCTCTGCAGAATTATCATTGCCTGATCAGGGCTGGCATGAACTGGCATGAGTTCCCAGTTCTTGGGGAATAATGCTTTCATGGAAAGAGTTAAGAAGGACGACTCACTGAAGGGATAAGGAAATGGGGGAGGAGAACCCTTTAGCCACATAAGCAAAATCTATATTTATTTGAAAAACATCTCAGGCCCTTTTCTACACAAGAGACTTATTCTCTATTGAATTTGAAGTCGCCAAGCTCAGCATGGGCGCCAGACATCCCATTGCTGTTTACTTTTCACTTGGAAAGGAAGGGTGAAAACATAACCCAAAACCAAAAATGAAAGTGAAATACTTGGAGCCTCAAATACAGATCTTTGGTATTGCCAATTAAGTCTAGATTCACATGCTTAAAAAATAAAAAAAGAAAAGCCAGCTTAGGGGAAAGACAGAATTAATATTCTGTTATGAAGTCGAGACTCTTCTGGCGCACATGCCACCCCAGGCCAGGCAAAGTTCTGCTCAGACAACAGCCCTTGCTGTCAGTCCGACAGGCTTTAGGCAGTAGTTCTCAGACTTAGGTACGCTTAGAATCACATGGGAAGCTTCTAAAGTAGGGAAATACAGGGCAGCAATGCAGACGGATCGAATCAGAACTATTTGAGGTTGGATTTAGCATCACTATTTGTAAAACTCTCCAAGTGACTCCACTATGCTGGCTTTTGTGAATTTATTAGCACACGGGTGCTGATTGTGAAGGGAGTCAGAACAGCTCCTGCTTTCCCTACTCAAACTCTTCCCGGGTTGTGCCATTGGGAAGCACCATCAAAACATGCCGCTGTTTGAGGCCACTCCAGACCCACGACATCAGAGTCGCTGGGGCTTGGGGTAGGCTATGCTCTTCATCTATAAACCAAAGGGGCTGGCTATAGGATTTCATAGAGGGTTGGATGTAAACGAGGTGATAATGTAACCAAGTACTCCTTTTTTTCTAAGAGAAAGGGAATACGTTACAATCATTTTTAAAAGTATTTTCTCTTTTCTCCTTTCCTCTTGTCCCTCACTTTCTACTTAGCCCTTTACAAATGCAAATCTCATCTTTCACCTCCCCTTCACTAGACATTCTTTACAGGACAAGTTCATCTAACTATATGCTCCAAGACAGAACTCTCTCGGGAGTTAAGAGCTGATTTATAGACCAAAGCATGACCTCTATGGCATTCTCACCCTCCAGGGGGTTGCCAGGGAACTCACCCTCCAGGAGGGCAGATTGAAAGCATGTCCACTACCCTTTCCCACCTGGAGAGTTTTAGGCCACTTTTTCAATTATTTCTACCTATGAAAGCACCAACTCAGCTGCCTGATAGATGAGGCACCACGCCAGCGAGTAGACCCCGCGCCCTTGCTCACTTCCTCCCCTGCCTTTTAAAAGTTCCTGCTTTCTGCTCCTAAAGCAAAGCAGTGCATTTACTATTTATTTATTTATTGATAGAGTCTCACTCTGTCACCCAGGCTGGAGTGCAGTGGCCCGATTTCACTTCACTGAAACCTCCAACTCCCAGGTTCAAGCAATTCTCCTGCCTCAGCCTCCCGAGTAGCTGGAATTACAGGCATCTACCACCATGCTCGGCTAATTTTTTTTGTTTTTAATAGAGACAGGAGTTTCACAATATTGGCCTGGCTGGTCTTGAACGCCTGACCTCAAGTGATCCACCCGCCTCAGCCTCCCAAAGTGCTGAGATTACAGGTGTGAGCCACCGTGCCTGGCAAAGCTGTGCATTTAAAGGCAGGAACCTGCACCTTTTCCCCAAAGGAGCTTTGGAGTAAATCACTTTTTTTTATATCCAGCCTCGCTCTTGTAAATTGGATTCTGCAAGCAACGAGTGACTAATCTGTGGTCCAGTTACAATAACAATAATAGAGAAAAGAGAGTGCAAATGATAAAGAAATCTACCAACATTAAATCACATTTGATTATTTCAAACACTTGGTACCCACAATCATCAGATATAAAGGATTATAGAGAGAAGCAAGGGAGGAGCTTGGGGCATTTTGTGCATTATGAAAAATGCTTAGTCACAAAATGTTTTCTGATCTTATTGCAAGGTCGTTAGATCAGCACACTGCAGAGATTGGTCTGTGTGCTGGAACCTTCATTCCACCACAGGCATCAAACTGTACCCCGAATTGATACTCCTCTGGGTCTTCAGAAGAGATAAGCATGAGCTGTGCACTACCTACCCTGAGCCTGTGGAAATACCTCTTTTCCATAACTGGAATGGTGGTGCTGGCAGAGACAAACATTAAACAGCTGAATGTAAAAGCCTCCTTGCGTGTCTTCTCCATGGCCAAGGCTGGATGGAGGTTGGACACCCTTGCTCGTTTGCTGATGTGGCCTCTTGGGGGCAGTATGACCCAAGGCTTGCCTTGGCTTCCCAGCTTGAAAAGGATTCACACTCTTCCTTGAATGCTTTAAAAAACTAGTGACCCAGAGAAACAAAAATAAGTCCCCAAAACATGACAGAATCACAATGACACAAACCTGATGATCAATCCATGTAGTAACAATAAGGAGCCAAATAGAAGACTTGTAAAATTTCTTCTAGAAAATTGCCTAATTTTATTAATTTATTAATAATATTATATGCATACATATTAATATAAAGATACAGTGTATGTCATATGACATTATATATAAATATGTATTTGTATATAGAATCTTAAATATTAAAGGTTGACTTTGTTTTGGAAAAATACAAGCAACTTTTACAATGAACTTTACTTCAAAGCAAAGGAACTATTGAAATGTTTTCATGTTTTTGCCTCTTCTGTTGGGCTTTATCCCCGAGGGCTGTGGAGAATCTCTATGTACTCTGATGATAAGTAAGTGGATCTGTTAACAAGCTACAAGCAACTGCAGTTAGAAAGTTTAGGACTTGTTTTCCAGTTCACATTTCTGCTTCTAGCCCCCGTGGTAGTTGGTGGTAAATCTTATGCTTTCATTAGAAGTGTTAACACTTGAACAGTTACGTTTGCATTTGGAACTCTAGCTCTCCCCCTACAGAAAATAAACGATTTGTAAATTTAATCATAATGATGGAAATGCCAATGCATCCTAATTTATTCAGAGCAATTTATTTTTATGGTAAAAATTTAACTTTATACTTTTTTTACTTAGTGACTGAGGGTTTTTTTAATTGCATTTTAGGTTTTGGGGTACATGTGAAGAACATGCAAGATAGTTGCATAGGTACACACGTGGCAGTGTGACTTGCTGCCTTCCTCCCCTTCACCTATATCTATTCAGAGCAATTTAAACTAAGGACCCCTGGAATACAAAATGTAAACAGAATCCCAGTTTATGATTTTGCACATGATTCTTCCTTGCTAAGGACAGTCACCTGTACTTTGACTTTATTCACGGCTTGCAATCCGCTCTTTGATAGGGGTCTCTGGGTGAAGACAGGAGGCACCTTCACCCCAGGGATGGTGAATAAATCAGATCCTGAAGGTCATGCGTTGAAACTCCAAAGAGTAGAGGCATGGGCCTGAGGAGTTAACGAGGACGGCCTCTAGAAAGGCTGGCCACACTAAAAATAGCTTTTTGTGTGTGTGCTAATGTTGGAAGTCATTTAATAAGATGGAAAAAGGATCAGGAGCAATGGACATGGCTGCATTTATGTCAGTCATAAAAGCTGACACCTTCCAACCTCCCTGCCCCACTGCCTTCATCCTATGGGATGGATCTCCCTTCTCCGTGGCCCCTTCCTTCTACTCTAACCCCAGTCCCCTCCTGCCCTTCCTTGGTTCGTTCTACCTTTTAGCCTAAGAGATGAAAGGCAATCCTTCAAGTCTTGGTAGGGAGAAGCCACCCTGCTAATCAGATCCAGCTATCTTGTCTTCTGCTCATTTCATGCGCCTCCAAATAGGACCATGGCTGGCTCTTGCGTCTGCTGCCCATGACCTGCACTGGGAGACGAGTGTGCAGCGACTGAAAACCAGCATGTTAGAGAAGTGAACGTGACCCAGACACGCCCCCTCCACCTGGAGCACCTGTCCACGCTCAGGGTAAGAGGCTCATGCACATAAATCCAAATGCACCTGATTGTCATCACTGCAATTAGAGCCAAGTTTTGGGGAGGGATTCAATGAGAGAAAAGCAACCTCATTCTCACATATGATGTGCCTATAACTCAGGGTTGTGGGTAAGTGACCGGATCATGATGTTCCATGTCTTCTTCATTTTCAGACATAGACAACTGACTTGCGGCACCGACTCTGTTTTTTAAAACATGGCAATTCTTTTGTTTGAGTAGCAGAATTAAAATTTGAATTTTAAAAGTTTTCAAGTCAATCACTCAGCAATCCTACTCTTAGAGGCATCATATGTAAATACAAACTATTTTGGCAATTTGTCTCAGAAAAAGGGTCAATTTAAAAAATTATTTAAAAGAAAATACAAAAATACAATTCCCTCTCTCTTTGTATATACCACACACATACTCTCTCTCAGGAAGAAAAGAACTGCTTATACAATGCTTTGGCAGTTTCATGTGCTATTCTTTCAATGTACACTTAACCGAAAGAGCAAGAATATAATGAATTATTTTTAGAAGGTAGTTTTTTATTAGATGCATATTTTCTTTCAAGCAATGTGTAACTTTCCATATACATGAGAATATACAAATACTAAGATGTCAGAATGTCTTTGACTTGGCCCAGAGGCTAGGGTCCTATGCTACTCATGCACTCCCTACAACTTAAGAGCAAAAGGAAGGCATTTCCCTTCATTGCTTTCTGCTGACAGCCACAATGCTCCCCGTTCATATTCAGAGGCTGAGAAAAGTCAGTGACACCTCTTGTTATTCTGACACCTTCATTCCCTGAGTGATTCTCACCACTTTCTGTTTCCTCACCTTTCCTGTACTATGAAGGTTTTAGCCATCCCCCAAATTCAAAAAACTCTCAAATCTGTGCACAATCATATGAGAAGCAACAGCAAAAAATTCTCTCTCTCCCTTTGAAATGAATCCACCCTTTAGTGTCTGGGGATGGTTTATCTGGAGACGGCATCTGGAATGAATACCTAAAGTGTCCCCCAACCCCCATTCAGCTTGAAATATGGAGGCAGGTAAATTGTACTTTCTGTGGCTTTTAAGGCTCAAGTCAGCTTGTTTCCAAATGAGTATGTCCCTTTTCCCCTTTGCCTATTGATGGTTAAATGCAGAAAATGATACTTACAATGGTGTGCCTGGGCAGGCAGCATCTTAGTTTTTCAGGCTTCCCTCACCTCTACGGGGTCTCTTTGCTCAGTGCTATCCCTGAATGAGTAACTAGGAGTTTCATGCTTATTGAGTGTGTAGTATGTCCTAAATGTGTCCTGTGGTTGCCTCATAGAATCCTCCCAACAACCCATGAAATGACCACTAGGTAATCAGTCCTCACCTAGATCTCAAGTGTGATCTGAAGTATGTTCCTAGACCTCACACCTCATGTGCTCCTTAATCTGGCCTCCTCCTGGAGACCCCTCATTATTTGAGCTGTGATGAGAAGGAGCTCTCTGAAGTCAGAAGCATTCAGTGAAAGACAACCTGGAGTCTGTGTGAGACCATGTTCAAGCTCTACAAACCAGACCTACCCTTTTACACCAACCCCTCTTCTTCTTGACCTAAACCTCCTCCTCCTCCTTCTGTGCTTGATTTTTTTCAGGGGCTTTTCCAATCTGCTTGAAGGTTAGGGCTACTCTCTGACTCCTCTCTGTCCCTCACCTCCAACCCAAATCTACCCCAGTTCTGCTGACTCTGCTTCCCCATATGCTGCACGAATACCTCCCTCCTTCCATCCTCACACCTTGAGCTTAGCAGAGGCCATCCTCACCCTGACCTGAGGGCTGTTGCTGGTTTCCTCACCCTCACCTGAAAGCATTGCCCTAAATGCTCACCATTCCTGGTCCTCCTATGGCCATAGAATAAACCTACTGCAACACCGACCAGGATGCTCTCTGCTCCGCTCATGACTTAGATGGAACAATGCTGTCAAGGTTCCTCACAGTCTAGCCTTGTCCTTCCTCCTCCCCAGAGCCTTCCTAACCAGTCCTGTCTCCTTCCACAGCCAAGCTTGCCCATGCAGTACCTGCAGTGGGGCTTCTCTCTCCCCTAGCAATAGATGATCCAACTTAAATTCCTTCTCATTTAAAAAGCTTCCCCAGCTCTCTCAGGCCCCAAGGCCCTTGCCTGGTTCTAAAAGTGGGTGAAACTTACTAACCATACCTTGGAGGGAAAATCACACATAAAAGGTGTCATTTCTTAACTGATCATGTTCACGTCTTTTCTCCCTACAGCAAGACAAAGGCCTGTTTTAAACACATTTACAACCGGTATGTTGCCTTGTACAAGGTTAAAAGTTGTACATTTCTCGATTAATTTTGGTATTTCTGTTCAGGCCACTAAATTCAAGAATCAGCAATTCTCTGAGGCTTTCTTTTTATTATATATAAGAAACTTTTGGAGTGAAGGGAGAGTTTGTCAATAACTTGAGGCATATGGAGGGGAGATAAAAAGGTTGCTATTTTTCATCAACATATTTTGATTTGGCTTCCTAGAATTGATGGGCTTAAAACATCTAATCTACTTTAAACAGATGCCAAATAGATGGATGAATCTTAGACCTTCTGTGACAGTAACTTCCTTTTAAAAAGACCTCTCCCACCCCACCCCCAGCCCAGGCAGTGCATCCAAACCAAATCACGTGCACAACCCTGACTGTGTCACCAGCACCCTTGAGTCCCGGTCACAAGCCCACAGATATTTCCTGCTCCCCGGTGGATCGAGTATAAACTGAGTTTGCTCGCTCGGGAGCCTCTTTCTGGAAGATGGAACAGCATTCACAGAAGCACTTGGCAATGTGCTTTTGGAAGAAGACCGCGAGGTAGTTTCTAAACTTCTCCCCGACAAAAGCATAGATGATGGGGTTGACGCAGCAATGTGTCATCCCAAGAGTCTCTGTCACTTGCATGGCTTGGTCCAACCTGTTAGAGCTACTGCAATTATTCAGGCCAAAGAATTCCTGGTAGGTGTTCAGGAGAAGGACAATGTTGTAGGGAGCCCAGAAGAGAAAATAAACAATCATGATGGTGAAGATAAGCCTCACAGCCCTGTGCCTCTTCTTCTCATTTCGACACCGAAGCAGGGTTTTAAGGATTCCCGAGTAGCAGATGACCATGACGAGCAGTGGCAGGACCAGCCCCAAGATGACCATCTTTAATGTCTCGAAATTCTTCCAGAACTGATATTGGCTGAATGGAAAATGAGGGCTGCAGGTGTAATGATAACCTTCTTTTTGAGACCTGGTAAAGATGATTCCTGGGAGAGAGGCAAATACAGCCACCACCCAAGTGATCACACTTGTCACCACCCCAAAGGTGACCGTCCTGGCTTTTAAAGCAAACACAGCATGGACGATAGCCAGGTACCTATCGATTGTCAGGAGGATGATGAAGAAGATTCCAGAGAAGAAGCCTATAAAATAGAGCCCTGTCAAGAACTGACACATTGTATTTCCGAAGTCCCACTGGCCTGCAGCATAGTGAGCCCAGAAGGGGACAGTAAAAAGGAAAATCAGGTCAGAGATGGCCAGGTTGAGCAGGTAGATGTCAGTCATACTCTTCAGCCTTTTGCAGTTTATCAGAATGAGGACAACCAGCATGTTGCCCACGAAACCAAAGAGGAACACCATGGAGTAGAGCGGGGGCAGGAGGTGGGCTCCCATTTGCTTCACGTCGATTTTTCGGCAGGGCTCCGATGGGCCATAATCGATGTCATAGATTGGACTTGACACTTGATAATCCATCTTGTTCCACCCTGTGAATAAATAGAAAGTGATCTTTTACGAAGTCCTAGAATGTACTTTGTGGCCCGCCATGAATACAAACTGTTTTATACATTAATAGTTTTTAATTGCGTACATAGATGGCTACATTGCATGAACTTCCTTTTTGGCCAAACAATGAAGTTTTGTAGGGATGGGAAGGTTTGCCGCTAGCTTCTCCACTCACTAGATGGAGAGCTTGGCCCTGTTGGGGGGACTCATGAAGGCACCACTTCACCAAATAAAGTCTTGTGTTCTGTAGCACCATGGAGCAAATGAAGTTTGATAACAATTTTAAGAAACTGGGTCAAGGAAGGTGCAACTCAGCCTTCTTGTTACTGTTTTTCACACAGGGTCTCACTCTGTCACCCAGGCTGGAGTGCAGTGGCACGATCATGGCTCACTGCAGCTTCAACCTCCTGGGCTCAAGTGATCCTCTCACCCTTCCAAGTAGCTGAGGACTACAGGCGCCACCATGCCCAGCTAATTTTGTTTATTTCTACAGAGATGAGATCACACTATGTTGCCCAAGCTGGTCTCAAACTTCTGGGCTCAAGCAATCCTCCTGCCTCAGGCTCCCAGAATGCTGGGATTACAGGCATGAGCCACCATGCCTGGCTGCAACCCAGTCTTACAGTCTATATTGACGCTGCCATTCTCTGGGGTTTGCTTACAAAAAGCATGCACTATGAGCAAGCCAGTCATAATGAAGAGGCCTCAAGGGCACATACTGGATGTTAATCACTGTTCTAAGCATCACACCCATTCATTCGCTTAATCCTCAGGGCAACCTTATGAGGCAGAAAATAATTTTCACATTTTGCAAACAATGACCTTGAAGCACAGAGAGGGTAAGTAACTTGCTCAAAGCCAAACAGCTGGGATGGAACTGATTTTGAACGCGGGCAGCCTGCAATCTTAACCACCAGGCTACCCTGCTTAATTTAAAAGAGAATTAAAGAGCAAGACCATCAGATGGCTGGGCCATGAGGTAGTCAGAGTGAAATGGGCGGATGCCCAAGTTCCCCCACAGAAGGTCATAGAGGCCAACAGCCAATTGTAAAATCCTCACATTTTCTCTAAAGTTTGTGTTTGTAGTTTCTGAGTTGCCACAATTAAGAGTTCTCATACAAACCCAAGAAATAATAAAGTAAAAAATGTTTCATCTGCCACCACAGATGAATGTCATACATTCTGGGTAGTTTCATCTTACAACCAGCTGGCTTGCCTCACCTATTTAAATTCAGCTGCTCTAGCTGAGAATTTTCTCTTATTAAACCCTGTGGGTCTCAAACTCTCTGCATCTTAGATTAGGCAGCTGAGAGAAGCCCCAGAAAAGCTCACCTTTAATTTTGAGCCCTAAAGAATTATATACTAACTGTGCCGTGAAACTGATATATTAGAGGAACATTTTATTTGACGTTTGTAATTTGATATTAATTTGGACCATTTTTAGGCTTCCCTCTTTTCTGGAGGAAAAGGAAAAAAGAGAACCAGACTTAGACACAACTTCTTGTGGGTACATGTTCAGACGGCATCTCGTTTGAGAGGGTTTAGTTCTCCTCAGCAGAAGATAAGATTTCAAGACTTCAGCCAAGATTCATCTCTCTGAAAATCTTTCTTTTGAGAGGTAAGAATTGTTAGTTTGTTTTAAAATACTATTCCTCCCTTTAAAGTCTTTCACTCGTAATCATGATTTGTATCTTTGATGTAATAATCATCTGAAACTCATTCTAAACTCTGACCGTTTCCTTGCCTTAAAGATTATATTTTAAGATAATTCTATGAGCACTTGGTGGTTGCCAAATGTCTTCTCTGGGTTTCCTGTAAAGGCTTTTACTCATCTCAGAAGCTAACTAAAAAGCCAAGCAGCTGAGAGGTTACTTACCTGGGAGAGTTTCTTGTAGGGGAACGGATGTTTCAGCTCTTCTGGCCAGATGAGCTGTGCAAATCAAACATATAGACGGTATAAAAGTAGGAAATGCAGCTTCTTTTGAGGGGGGCGGAGTTAAATAATTCAGTGTATTGAAGGAGGAAAGAATCAGAGAACAGTTCTTCTTTTTAAGTTGAGCTTAAAATAAACTGCAGAAGAGATCCGGTCTGAAGGTTTATTCATGAGCTTTCTTCACTGGATTATTTTGTTTTTGTTCTCTGCTCATCCAACTACACAGAAGCTGTTAGAACATATGAAGAATAAAGGATATTCGAGCTAGAAGGACATTTACATTCATCTAGTCAAAAGCCCACATTTTAGTAAAAGAAATTACTATCCAAGAGACAAACAATTTGTTCAAGATCACAGGGCTTTTCAACAGTAAGACTAAAAGGGTGAGAAAATTCTGATTATCTTAAGAGTTGCCATCAATTAAAGCCAACTTAAACCAACTTTAAATGTAAAGAAAAATCCTGGACTTCACATTAACCTGTGCCCCCTTCTTCTCCCCTCTTCCCATATCCCCTGTCCCACTCCAGCTCACACACATGTGCTCACCACCCAATATTATTGTTCTCTGTAAACTAAAACAACCAAATGTCTGAAGAGTTTTAACTGTAGCCTCACCGATGAGCTGAACAGTTTCCCATCTTTTTCTGAATCCACGATCTTAGTGGGGATTTTCACTCCATTCACTGTTTCGTGGCCCTTCAACCCAGGAAGCATTTATGAGGACTTACACTGTGCCAGATACATAGGTGGCAGGATTCTTCACTCCAGATGCAATCTATCCGGAGCTATGAGAAATCTTCCACATGACGGAAGTATACGGTCGAGTTCAGGATTCTTTATGACAATACTATCTACAGCTGTATCAAGCTCTCTTGGTGGTTGATGACATCTGAAAATCTCAAGTATTGTCAGTAGAGCTGAGAAGACAGCAGAGAGCCACTCCTGAGCCACAAGATGCCCTTCCGGGCTTCCGTGACCTCAGCTCTAGAATAAAAAGCATTGGCTTGTAATCTCTAAGAAGGCAAAGGAGACCCCAAACAGCAAAATTACATGCTCCCAAACCTACGGAGGCAGCCTAGCCCAGGGCCTAAGCCAGTGGCCTTTGTAGTCAGACTGCCAGGCTGGAAGCCTGTCTCTTCCCTCAGCTTTCTCATCTGGGTATTGAGCTGAATTACAGTGGTCATTTCAAGGGTTGTTGGGAGGATTCTATGAGGCCTCCCCAGCCAGCATCTAGCACATACTGTGCACTCCATAAACATCCACCTCTTTGTTACTTTTTCAGCAATTCTTTCTGAGAGAGTTTATTTGATTACATTCTAACAAAATTGGTTCCCTGGAGTCTCTATCTACATCAGATTGGTTTCAGCAAACTAGAAGCTGGAAAGGTGAAGCTAATTACTGGTGCTCGGAGAATAGAAAGAAATGACTGCTTGGGAAAAGACAGAAAAGTACAGAAACAGCCCAGCGATCAGGACACCCCACCTTGCCCCACGTAGGGGCACATGTCTGTGTTACAACAGAGCTCAGAAACTGGTAGTTGTAACAGGGACAGTGAGTCATCAAGAAAATGTTCACATTCATCCCGTGTGTGCAATTCAAAAGGCAATGATTAAGAACTGTAGTCACACTGCTGGGTTTGACCTCCAGCTTCATTACTACTACTTGGCTCTGACCATTACTGACTCTCCCTGCCTAGTTTTCTTAACTATAAAGTGGAGGTTTTAGAAAAAAAAACAAATACAAGCTTACTCAATACACCTGTGGTGGCGACGGAATGATAAGAGTAGAGCCTTTCGGGCACCTGCCTCGGGGTGCTGTGTAAGCAGGGAACTATAAAGCGTGCTTTAGAAAGAGTTAAAAAATAGAGAACAAGTTCGTATAAAATTTTATAGAAAATAGATAACATAAACGCAACTTTGGTTTTTAGAAGGATAGCCTTGTATTCACTGGTAATTCACTTGGGTAGAACTCTCAGAGGCTGTCGGACCAATGCTGTATTTCTGCTTGTGGCAATTGCTGGTTTTTACTTTCACCATGCAGAGCTGAGGCTTTGCCATGTTCTGTGTGTCTGTCATTAGGGTGACGGAGGAAGCGAAGACACGCTCGCCCCCAGAGGGCAATGTGGGCTAGAGGAGCAGGCTCGGAGTCACACAGACTATGCTGCTGACTTGTTGTGTGATCCTGGCAAGATACTTCCACTCCCTGAGCTTCCACTTCCTCATCTGTTAAATGATGTGCTAGGCCTGGGGCGGCTTCCACCCTAAATACTATGTGACTCCATGGCCAAGTTGGTTTGAAAAATACGCACTAGATTGGAAGCAAGGTGAGGATTCGCAGGCTTGAAACAAGGAAGCACAGTTTGGCAGTGTGTGTCGCTCTACTTTTGTGTTTCTGGTCCAGAGTTGTCTTCTAGTAACCACTCAGGATAGGGGTTCAGCCCAAGGATTCACAAGAAAGTGGGGACCAGTGGGAAATTCTTCAGCATTTAAATGAAATGTTGTTCTGGATACAATAACAAGCTAGCAGTTTACCGTGCTGTGACTTAGCTGCTTGGTGTCTGCTACTCTTTCCGCTTTGTCCCTCTCAGTTTGCATGGCTCTTGCTCTCTTAGGTATTATTAAATACATCTGGACTCCTCATGGGAAACAAACCTTCGATCGGTTTGTCACTCTAGACTCCATGCCCATACTGGAGGGTGTTTTGTGCCAGCCCTCCTCTAGGGGCCTTTTTGTCTTTGAACAGCTGCTCCATGTCGAGTCGCTGCACCTGTGTTCCAAGCATTGCTTTGCTCACTCCTTGCCCATTCCATTCCTGGACCATATTTTCAGAGCACCGTCAACAGGATGGGGAGAATGTTAATTATTCACTTTGGGCGCAAGGGCCAACTACCTGAGCACAGTGAGCAGGAACCCTGCCATACAGCAGCTGTTGTGAAAATGCCTGGGGCCTGAGTTGACTCTTGGTCAATATCAGTCAACAGTGAGAATGGGCTGTAAAAAGAATAAATGAATCTTTTATTTTTAAAAACAAATGTCTAGGCCAGGTGCAGTGGCACATGCCTGTAATCCCAGCACTTTGGGAAGTCAAGGCACGTGGATAATTTGAGGTTGAGAGTTTGAGAACAGCCTGGCCAACATGGTGAAACCCTGTCTCTACTAAAAATACAAAAAATTATTGGGGTGTGGTGGCACATCCCTGTAGTCCCAGCTACTCAGGAGGCTGAGGTGGGAGAATCTCTTGAACCCAGGAGGTAGAGGTTGCACTGAGCCAAGATCACACCATTGTACTCCAGCCTGGGCGACAGTGAGACTCTGTCTCAAAACAAAACAAACAAACAAAATATCTAATTATAAAACCAACACATGCTCATTGTATAAAACTGGGAAAAACAGAAAAAAGGAAAAAATTAGATAAAGTCTCACAATATCAAAACGATGTCTTTTAAAATGTGATGCTTCAATCCTGACTTTTCCCATGCACTTTTTGATTAATTGTTCTTACACATATACCATTCTGTAGGTGGCTCCTTTTTTTTTTGGCAAAGATTATAGTGTAGACATTTTCCTATATTATTAAAAATTCTTTATACGTATAGTTCTTTATTACTTTTATTGAGGAGGAACACACTGATCTTAGAGGTACAGCTTGGTGAGTTTTGATATGCAATCATGCCTGTAACTACCACTCCCGATCAAGATGATAAGAAATATCCCTATCACTTCAGAAAGTACCTTTTGCTCCATGCAGAGGTAAGGGCCACTCTGACTTCATAGAGATTAAATGATGCTGTCTTTAACTTCTATAAATGGAATTGTAGATACTGTCCTTTTTCCTGTTTGACTTCATTCATTCAGCAAAATACCCTTAACTATATTTAACAGAGTTCTGTCATTAGACAGTTGGGCTCTTCCACTATTCAGTTGTGTGAGCAGTGTCACACTGATTGTCACCATCAGTGCTCTGAGATCCCTTTCAAGAAGGATGTTCTTCCTGTCCCCAGATCCACCTTTACCAGGAGAGCCAGGGAGTCCCCATGGTCTTCACAGAAACAGGAAGAATCCACCCCCGTCCAGTGCCACACTTTGTTATTTACGTGCCTCAGCAATGACGCTTGGATCCTACGATGCCCACCAGGAGACAGCCTCTGCCTTCTGCCTCAGACACCTATTATGATGGGTGGGTTGGGAACTCACCGTGCAGTTGTCTCCATCCCCGTTTCTGTCCTCTAGACCTTTCCCAGGGTAACCTACTTCCAAGACAATGGACCACATCCCCCATGGGGATTTGTGCAATTCATGAAACCAAGTGGACACGTGTAGGCCATCTACCTCATGGCTTCATTAGATATGTTCAAACCTGGTGGGAGCCCCTTCGCTCAGCAGCGCAGTCTCCTTTATGCATTTGGGGGATTCTTTCAGATCAGTGCCTAGGCATGAGGCTAGTACAATGTAGGTGTAGTAACAGCTGTCTAAGCTAACAGTTAAACAATACAATAGACCCGCTGTGATCTTAAGTGAGTCAGATCACACCTGGAGCTCTGTACTCAGCTCTCCACATAACATGAGATTATGAAGGACTTTTCTGGTTGTCCCAGAACTAGCAACTGTGGCCTGAGGCTGAAGGCAAAGAAGTGTTATGTGCTCATAGTTCCAAGGAAAACCACTGACCTCTCCCAGGCTTGCTAG